CCAGCAAGAGTCATCTCAAATGCAATCGAACGAAGAGACTGAATGAAAGTAACCACGACACGGTCTCCCTTTTTATCAGCAAGCAGACGATCCCGAAGTGTCATGACACGAGAGCGAGAGTTATTCGCATAGAGATTAGAGACGAAGGAGAGAAACTCAGGCTTCGGCAGTAGAAGCACTAATGAACGGAAGGACAACTTCCGTGACAGACGAGAGGATGCCATTAGGAAGGAGCTGATCTTGTCGAAACCATTGAACGCAAGCAGAGTTTTGAGTTTCAGCACCATCAACAGTAATGGTAGCTGCAGGAGGCACGATAGTACCATCGAGATAGCCGATGAGGTCGAGGCCATGAAGCAGCGGAAAGAGTTGGGCGCATCATGATGGGAAGTTGGCGGCAGTGAGCTTTAGCGGAATAGACGCGGCTGGGTTGAATGTGACCAGCGCAGGCTTAGATGTAGTTGCCACAGGAGAACCCCTAGAAGAGACAGAACCGGCAGACATGGCGGCGAACAAGAGACGAAGCAACAAATACGACGGTGATTTTAGGGTTGTGGATCAAAGGCTGTTAAGCAAGAGGCTCTGATACCATGTAAGGTTTATCAACCATTGGCGGATCCACGGGGTGGCCACCCCGGGCCCCGACCCAGCCCTCTTATGGATCTGGTGTTAGTATAGTCCTTATGAATTTTTCGATTTAGTCATTCGGCCCAGTGTTATTTTATAATAAGATTGGTTATAACTAGAAAAATGATTGATATGAACAAATTCAAATCGCTAGTCTAAATTTAGTCTAGAAATTCTAGCCTCAAAGATTATTCGTCAAAAAATTTATGAAACCTAAAATCCCAGAAGTCTAAAAAACATAAAAGGCTAAAGGAAATATGAGTCCCTTGAAAATTTACTAGAGCAGCAAGTGGATATAGGGATGGACACACAATGCAAATTGATTAGTCGATTAATTTGTCTAATATTGACGCTGCTCGTTTCAACCGCTACTACGGAGAGAACCTTTTCAACAATGAAACATGTGAAAACTTATTTGCGCAACAAAATGAGCGATGAATTTCTCGCCGATTGCTCAAGTATTTTATTTGAAACCGTGTATACTATTGGTATGATGTGGACTCCATTATTGAAGCATTCACTAAATTAAAATACTATCATGTACAATTGACATTGTAAAAAAAACTATAATCGTTATATTTTTTTACGATTTAATTTTCTAATGAAATGCGGCCTAGTGTTCTTCTGTGTTCTGAATCCGCCGCTGTTATCAACCGTGTAATTATATTATTGACGTAGAGTATATTTATATCCATAATATTACATGATACAGACTGGAACAAGGAGACTAAACACAACTATGAGAAGTAAACTGTATACAAGTGTAAGGATTACAAGAACTAAACTGACAAAGACTTTTTCCTAATACATATGACATTTTTAGATATTAACTAATTCGTGTGATGTGGCATAGTAATGTGGCTATTTGGAATGAAAAATGGATAGAATCAATGTAATCACTAATCACGTCGTTAGTTAGTACTTGGTACAAACGTAAATTAATAGCTTGCTAAAAATCCAACGTAGGTGACATTTTTGTTGATTAGCCAAAGGTAAGTGACTTTTTATGCTATTAACCTAGATTATTGAGATCTATCGGCTCGTCGTGCTAAGATTAAAGAGGATGCAAGGAGCATTTTACTTTACTTTACTTTACTTTTTTTTTTTTCCTTAACTATGTGACAAGTATAAATGTTTCGAAGTGATTTTTTGTGATACGTTTTTTATGCGATTTAGAAAAGTCAAACCAAACAAAATAACAAGCCATCAACCAAATATGTCAACAATTGACATTTTTTCTAATTGAAAAAAGAGCGCTTAAAGAGCACCCCAACCTTTATCCATTAACAAAGCGGGGTTTTTCACCCCAATCCTATCAAAGTACAACCAATAAGCCAGAGAGCTCGTGGGAATATCAATGATATGGACACCTACTGTGTGGTTATGGCCTATGGAAGCCAAGTAATCAGCTACATAGTTTCCCTCCCTGTAGACATGCTCTATCCGAACCTGCCATGGATACTGAAGCCAACGTCGTACATCAACAATGGCTACAAAGTGTGGATGTTGATGTGAAGCCGTCTCAATCAGGGTCTTCGCTATAAGCAAGTCCGTATGTAAAATTACCTTCCTAGCCCCCAGTTCCCAGGTAAGTTTCAGTCCCTGCACAATCCTAGCCAGCTCTGCACGGGTTATAGAAACCCCTTCCCAGGTTCGCTGTAAAGACTCCGATAAAGCGGCCATCGCCTCCCCTAACAATGCCGCCAACTGCCGTGCTAGAAGGAGAATGTGTGACTGAACCATCGGTGTTCAGGCATACCCAGTCCTCTGGTGGTGACTGCCAGCAGATCAGTCGTCTCTCTTGAGGTCCCCCTCCTCCAAACGCGGTAGTCTCCTTCTCAAAAGCAGCGATTATCTGATGCTTTAGCTATTTTGTGTGGAACTGGATTTGTGCAGGGGATTTTAGCTCACCTTGGAACACGTGGCCATTCCGGTTCTTCCACAGAAGCCATGTTGTGCAAGCGAAGAGGGTGATATCCACTATGGTGTTGCGTCCTGCAATGTAGTGAAATAACCATTGGCGTAAAGGTTGACCGAAAAAGTCCGCATCATGTTCGGATTCCAGCAGGTCAGCCCACGTTGCTCTAGACATCGGGCATTCTCGCAAGATGTGAATTGTTGTTTCCGGTCCTTCTCCGCACAGCTTGCACGAGGCGTCGTGAGTGAGGTGGCGTCTACTTCTTTCTGCTTTTGTGAGCAGGCGATCATGGGTAGCCAGCCACAGGAAAGTCCTAGCATGCTGCATGACCGAAGCTCGCCATATGGATCGCCAAATAGGATTCTTAGCATGGTTCGCCGGGTCTGTTTCCAGCAGCTGGTAGGACGCCCGGACTGAAAACTTGTCGTCGGTGGTGACTCTCCAGATCCGGACATCATCCTCTTGTTCCGCCGGTACCGGATGAATAAGTACCTGCGCAACAAGTGAAGAGGGTAAGAACGCTCGCAAATAATCCACATTCCACTCACCGTTCAGTACGAAATCCGCCACTGAGAGCTTCAACGCGTCGTGAGGCAGTTCTGGTGCAAAGGTCGCAAGTGGCTCTCCATCGTGAAGCCATCGGTTGGTCCAAAACCTTGTTGTTCGTCTGTTCCCCACGTTCCAGGCTGACCCTGCATCAATCAAGTTCCAAACCTGCAAGACTCCTCTCCAAAGGTACGATAGCCTCCCTTGAGTACGCGGGACGTCTGGAAATACTTGGACCGTATCAGGAGAACCCAAAGTTCATCCAGTTTCGTCAGCATTTGCCAGACTAGCTTTAGCATGTACGCATCATTCGTGCGCCTCGAGTCCCGGAGAGCTAGTCCTCCCTCCTCCTTTGGGGCGCATAGTGTTGTCCAGTCAAGAAGATGGGTCTTCCGACCGCCCTCTATGCTCCCCCAAAAAAATGCTCGAATTTTTTTATCGATATAATCATGAACACTTGCTGGGAGAAGGGTCGCCCGCCTCGTGTACGCCGGCAGGGAGGATAGTACGGATTGAGCCAGGGTGACACGAGCTGCAAGAGACATCGTGGCAGCCTTCCAACCTACAAGGCGAGAGTCAATACGGTTAATCAAGTCAACATATGTCGCTTTCGATACCCTGTCATGGATGACAGGAACCCCCAGATACCTCCCCAGGCTTAGCAAAACCGAGGGTTTGAAAATCCCCCCTTCGTTCGTATAGAGCTCTCTAAAGTGGCTGCAGGCGAGAACTTGTAACTCTTTCGGGACGTCAATCCAAGCACCGTTAGGTACCTTCAGGGTGATGATAAGATTTTTCTTCCTTCGCACGAGTGTCCGTGTATGGAAGAATTTGGTATTCTGATCACCCATTTAATCCATTCATCCCGGGATTTCTGGCACCATAAGAGTTCCTCCTGAAAAAGAACCGTCTCCAGCTCGGTTCGGGCAGCTTCAAGGTTGGGAATATTTGTCGATCCCCTATCCTAAGCTTCCAGTCTTTCAATCCTCCTTAATAGAGCATCTTTTCGTCGCTGAATATGGCCAAAAGTAAATTTATTCCAATGGCGGGCATCGTGGGCAAAGGCAGCAGCAGATTTCTTGAAGTTTGACCCTCGAGCCCAAGCAGAACTAGTCATCCTCATAAAGTCCTCGTGGGTGAGCCAAGCGGCAAGGAACCTGAAGGGTTTGGGCCCTCCCGGGGAAGCATGACTCATCATCACCACCAGCAGAGGTCTATGGTCCGATTTCAAGCGGGGTAGGTGCTTCACTATAGTCTCCGGGAATGAGGTCAACCAGCTAATGTTAGCCAACCCGCGATCTAGGCGCTCGCGAATCCTCGACCGGAACCAAGTGTAAGCTGGTCCTGAGAATCCGAGATCAACGAGGCCTGAATCGTTAACACAATCTTGGAAGTCCCTGACTCCCGTGGCATCAAACGGAACACTCCCTAGCTTCTCTGACGGGTGTAAGATGGAATTGAAATCCCCGAGAAGTAGCAGGGGCGCTCTTCGTCCTCGGCCAGCCTTCGGATAGGTGATCATAGATCTCGACGTTGCATGGGAGCTGGGTTCACGTAAATTGCAGTGAGGAGCCAAGGATTCCCCACTGTGTTGACCTGGCTTACCTGCACATGGAGGAATTGCGAATTAGAATCCTGCTTAGTAATGTTGAACTCAGTTGATTTCCAGATGACCCAAATGCCCTCCAAAAACCCCACAGCGTCCACAACTAACTTGCTATCATAACCCATATCACATATCACCCCCTCATCAGTAGTACCGCTGATTTTGGGTTCCACTATAATCACAATATTTGGCCGAAATCTACGTTTATACTCAGGAAACTCCGGTTGCAGGCACCTCTACAATTCCAAGAATAAATAGTACAATCCATGGAAAGAGAAGATGAAGAAAACTCCCTGAGGCATGTCACTGATGGGTGGAGCCGCCATCGCTCCCTGAGGAAGTCAGGGTCTCGGTTTGATATTGTAATTCCTCCATCGGCTGATCCAAGTTGTTTCTTGCCTTTGGTGGACGTTCTATGGCGTCCCAAGTGAGATTCCTATTATATGCGTCAAGCCCGAAAGGAGCTTGAGCCGAACTGTGGTCGAGGTGTAGTCCCTCGGTCTCCATGAGAGCAACACCCTGAGTGGTAACCTTTCCCGCCGTCAGCTGTTGGTCCTCAGTACGAACATTGTCACGGGTCGGTGGGTCCCTCTAGGCTGCACTAGTAGTCTTCCCCTGGGATTTGAGTTTGGGAGCTTCCATTGGCTTCTCACGCTGTATGTTTCCTGCTTGTTTCCCATTTTTACTAGGGTTTGAATTTGAAGTCACATTCTTATCACCCTTTGGGGTTGTCCCACGAGTCTCCCCTCCCGCATGAACTCCCTAGGCTCTTTTCCCTTTGCTGGATAAAATCCTCTTCCATGGAATCCTCCTGTGACAAAGCATTGAACCTTGAACCCGATCTAACGGTTTTCTCCACTTGGTTGTTTCTCATCCCGTTCGCCTTTACATGGGTTCCGGAGTCATGGCGGGCGGCTCGTGGTTTCTTCTTCGCAATCATCCACTCCCCGTAGACTTTTCCTGGCTCCTGAACGGGCTCTTTGGTCGGTTCAGTGTGTGGTGTTTCCTCATGCGGTTGTGGCGACGTATTAGCCGTACAAAATCAACCCGTCCTCTCGAAATATTTACCGCAATTGAGGCAAATTTTTTCCATCCCATCATACTGAATAAAGTACTTGATCCCATGAATTCTCAACTGGGACAGGAGAGGTTTGGACAGATCAACCTCCACACCGACTCTATCATAGTCTAGGCGAGCACCTATTTTGGTGGTTTGATCTACCCGTACAGGCTTACCAATTCGTTGCCCTATCTTCATCACAGCTTTAGTGTTGAAATATTGTGTCGGGATATCAAGTAGTCGTGCCCACACCAGAGTTGACGAAATTTCATGACTATACGGGTTGAAATGCTTATTCCACATATGGACTGTGAGGTAGTAATCCCCCACCATCCACGGCCCCCCGTTACTGCCCTTTCGTAGTCGACTCCGCTGGTAAACCGCACGATGTAGTACCCTTTCTTTGCTTATGCTACTTGTATAGTGCCGGATTTTGCCCATATGGAGTTTAGTCTCCGAGAAACTACTGTATAGGACGAGGAACGTCCCAGGACTTTAACAACTAGTGCTGACCTCAATTTCCTACAGTATTGTCGTTCCTCTGCAGCGGAAAAGGGAATATTAGGGCAGAGAGGATCATCATCCTCCTCTGTACCATCGTCCCTTCCATCTTCTCGGATGGCCGCCGCGACATCCTACGAATCGAAGTCGGCGATATACCTCTCGTCAGTCTTAAAGAAGTCGTTAAATTGACGGCATGCAGCACCCGTGCCGGAAGTCCAGGCCGACCGGGGGGGGGGGGCTACCCGATCTCGTACGCTTCTCTTCTGTATCGGAGACATCTTCCAACCCTACATCAGATTCGCTATTGATAGTTATCCCTTTGGTTGTTTGCTTGGCCCTTTTCTTGCTTTGCTGAGCTTCCCGATCCCCCTTAGGGTTAGGGGATGAAGATGATGATGGAGTTCTCCGTTGTCCTGCAAGGCTTTCTGGAGTGGGGACAGGTGGTCCCCCACCAGCCAGTGGCTCGGACACCGATGGCATGAACGCTGCACAAAAACCCTAGCTCGCCGTGGGAGATTTTCGCCGCTCCTAAAATTTCGGAGCACGCCCAAAAGCTGGTTAGAGTCTGTGCGGTTGATTTTCAATTAACTGTCAACTTTAACACAATTCATTTTGAAAAGCATGAAATATAAAATCAATTTCCCGAAAATATAATATTTTAGTGGTAATATCCAAATAAATAAAATAGGTGAGCAATAGAAAGGCTGGGGCCGGTTTGCATTTGCAAAGTCCGGAGTTGCAGCGGGTGGTTAATTAGCAGTTAATTAATCTGAACAATTAGGATTCTCATACTAACCACGAAAAGAAAAACACCCACGGGCGACGACAAGGATATAAGAATTCTAGGAAAGCGGTTCCGCCTTACGTTCACGTCGCGGTCTTGAGGAGGCTTCCATCAATTTTTGAGAATCAAGAATCTTTCAATCGATAACAACACTCCTCTCTATCTCAGATGAGATCTAAAATCAAGGCAATAAAGGATCCAAACCAGAGCCAGAGCCGATACTGCCATCGCCACAGAGCACCCTGTTCCCCAATATCCCCAACTTAAACCCTCTCTCCACCAGCCTCTCCGTGTGACCCGCCCTCGCCCACCCAGCGGCGGATCTAGGACACAGTAGAGTATTGGGCCGCATTTCATTAGAAAATTAGATATCGCAAGAAATTCATCGCTCATTTTGTTGCACAAATAATTTTTCACCTATTTCATGGTTGAAAAGGTTCTCTCCATAGTAGCTATTGAAATGAGCAATGTCAGCACTAGACAAATCAATCGACTAATCAATATGTATTGTGTGTCAATCCCTATATTCACCAGCTGCTCTAGTAATTTTTCAAGAGAGCAAACCTCATATTTCTTTTAGTCTTTTACGTTTTAGACTTTTAGAATTTTAGGTTTCATTGTTTGTTTTTCTTTAGATGAGACCGTGGAGGGCTGTACCGTGGCCCGGGGTGGCCACCCCCTGGATATGCCAATGCGCCCACCTCACCATCACCTCCTCCTCCTCGTCATCACCCCCGCCACCGCAGAAGCGATATTCCTGGCGGCGTTGACCAACAGGAAGTTGGCGTCCATGAGGAACCCAAGCCCCATGGAGCTGCAGAGGAAGCTGGCCAGCAGGCACACCGACGCCGAGCCGTACTTGAGCACGGTGATCCCATATTTTTGGATTGGTGGACAGATGTCACTTCAGTAGCTCTTCTCAGCTTCTAACCCAACTTTTATATATAGTCTTGAATGAATATTTTTACATATATAAAGTAGGGTTGTGAGGGGCACTAGACATTAGTGTCGAATCAATAGGATTTTTTATTATTAGTTAATCACATTTTATGTGGCATTTTGCATTTTTTTATAATAATTGAACTCAAACTCATTGACATTCAACCTAATTCGATCCAGCCAAATCGAGTTGAATTTAGTATTGACGAGTTTTGTGTCCGAATCGAGTTTTACTTTCTTTTGTAATTGAGGAAATGGATCGGGTGTAGATTTTGTTAAAAACTCTATCTGCTTCATTGGACCTCACCTGAAAAAATAGAACAATGGACCTAGTCAAAGCGGGATAGAATTCAGTGTTGACAAGTTTTCATTCGATAGTGAGTTTTACCCGCTTTTGTAATTGATGGGTTGGGTTGGATGTTGATTTTCTTAGAAACTTGGTCCGGTTTCTATCCGACCTGCACCTAACAAACAAAACAATCGACCCAGTAAAGCGGTTGAATCGGGCTGTGGATTATGTTAAAAACTCGTTCCGGGTAATCAAAATATTCTTGGTGTTGACGAGTTTTGTTTAGGAGCGTGTTTTGCCCACTTTGGTAATTGGTGAGTTGGGTCGGGTGTGGTTTTGTTAAAAGCTCAGTACAATTTTCATTCGAACCACACCTAAAAGCAAAACAATCAACCCGACCAAAGAGGGTTGAATCTTGTGTTGACGAGTTTTTATTCGGGGTGAGTTTTACCAGCTTTTGTAATTAACGAGTTAGGTTGATGTGAATCTTGTTCAATAATTGGCCCGCTTAAACGAAAACTTATTGGTGTTGATGAGTTTTGGGTCGAGAGCGAATTTACCTGCTTTTGTGATTGAAGGGTTGAATCATTTTGGATTTTGTAAAAAAGAAAAACTAGACCTACTTTCCATTTGACCTACACCTAATAAAACAATGCCCCGGTCAAAGAGGCTTGAATATGGTATTCATGAGTTTTGGTTCGGGAACGAGATTTGCCTGCTTTTGTAATTAAAGGGTTAGTTTGGTTGTGTATTTTGTTAAAAAACAACCCACTTAATCAAAATTTAGTGATATTAACGAGTTTTGGGTTGGGAGCGACTTTTACCCACTTTTGTAATTAACGAGTTGGGTGGGTGTGGATTTTGTTAAAAACTCTATATGCACATAAAAAACAAAAAGTTGACCATGTCAAAGCAGGTGAATCCAGTGTTGATAAGTTTTGGTTCTAAAGAGAGTGGGACCTGGTATTGACGAGTTTTCTTGTTAGGCGCAAGTTTTTCCGGCTTTTTTAATTGATAGATTGGATTGGGTGTGAATTTTGTTAAAAACTCAACACGCTATCCATTCGGATCGCTCCTAAACAATCGACCAGGTCAAAGCGGGTTGAACCCGGTATTTATGAGTTTTTTGTGGGGATTGAGTTTTACCGCTTTAGTGGTTGGTGGATTGGGTTGGGTATGGGTTTTGTTAAAACTTGACCCATTTATCATCCGCACACAACAAATAAAACAATAGCTTTTGATGGACTGGTGTGCAACTTAATTCGATATAGTTAAAGTGAGTTGAACTTGGTGTTGGTGAGTTTTAAATCTGGAGCAAGTTTTGCGCGATATTGTAATTGACGAGTTTTCTTATTAGGCGCGAGTTTTTCCCTTTTTTTAATTGATAGGTTGGATCGGGTGTGAATTTTGTTAAGAACTCAACACGCTATCCATCCGGCTAGCTTCTAAACAATCGACCAGGTCAAAGCGGGTTGAACCCGGTATTTATGAGTTTTTTGTGGGGATTGAGTTTTACCGCTTTTGTGGTTGGTGGGTTGGGTTGGATATGGGTTGAAACTCGACCCATTTATCATCCGGATCCAACAAATAAAACAATGCATTTTGATGGACTGGTGTGCAACTTAATTCGATACAGTTAAAGTGAGTTGAACTTGGTGTTGATGATTTTAAATCGGGAGCAAGTTTTGCTCGATATTGTAATTGACAAGTTTTCTTGTTAGCTGCGAGTTTTTCCAGCTCTTTTAATTGATAGGTTGGATCGGGTGTGAATTTTGTTAAAAACTCAACACGCTACCCATCCGGCTCGCTCCTAAACAATCGACCAGGTCAAAGCGGGTTGAACCTGGTATTTATGAGTTTTTTGTGGGGATTGAGTTTTACCGCTTTTGTGGTTGGTGGGCTGGGTTGGATATGGGTTTTGTTAAAACTCGACCCATTTATCATCCGCACCCAGCAAATAAAACTAGGGCTGGTAATCGGTCGGTAACCGGTTAACCGGTTACGGTATACCGTCTGAGTCGAAACCACGCCCGAATACCGCTACCGGTTACCGAATAACCGGTTAACGGTTACAAACCGGTATTACCAAAACGCCGAGCCAAGGAGGAGAAACAACATTTCGGTTCGGTTAACCGAGAAATAACCGGTCACCGATTGTGTGCATAAGGGTGATGGGAGGCAGCAGGCTCTCGGCAAATTTTTTAAAAATTTCATTGTTTTATTTTATTTTATTTTATCTACTCAATAATGTAAGTCTTAACTCTTATTTACAATATTAAGAGTTATTATAATTTATAACATTACAATTGTCATTTGTCAAACCAGTAATAATTGATTTATAAGTTATAACGAGTTCGAACTTCAAATTCTGAAATTCATTAAGTATCATCAAATATTGAAATTGAAAGGGACGATAATCAACATAATTGTCAATCAACCAAAGCGCATAATGATTAATGACAGTGTCCAAAATCTAAATTCACAAGTTCAAACTTCAAACTTAATAACTCACCAAAAAAAAACTTCAAACTTAATAATAAAAATGGATCTTAGAAGTACCCAAATAACACAACATAAATAAACACATAAACTAGCTCGCATCTCATGCTCCTCCTTCTCCGATAGAACTTGTTGTCCCACTACCAACATTAGCACATCCTTTCTTCTTCAAAGTCCTAAGTAGAGAAACTTCGGGATCGTCATCGTCATCGTCACTCATATCATCACTCTCGGTCTCCTCGTCATCTTCCTCCTCCTCAACAACCCCATCAGGTAAGTTATGTGCTCTAACTTCAGTAGCAGTTTCCACTCGAGCTTGGAAAGTATTAGCCACTCGTGCAAACAAAAAACACAAATTTTAATGATTTAAATATGGAATGGCTTAATTAATAGTAAAGAGTATATACAATAATACATATAAGAAGAATGAATTGAATTCTCACCATTCTCAAAGTCGATTGTATCCTGATCTTCTTCCTTATCACTCAGTTCATCTACACTCTTTCCACTTTCATACCTTATCCAATCTTCAGCACAAATCAAGGCCTCTACAATGTTTGGGCTCAAAGATGATCTGAAAGGACTAAGAACTCGACCTCCACAACTGAAAGCGGACTCCGAGACAACAGAGGATACTGGAACTGCGAATATATCCCTAACCATCTCTGCAAGAATGGGATATCTAACACTGTTCCGAGACCACCACTTCAGAATGTCAAACATCCGATCATCAAGCTCCTCGTTAACAGCATCACCAACATCTCTCAAAATATGACTCCAACTCACCAGATACTCGACCCCCCCCCCTCTCAAGTTGCTCCTTTCTCTTCTGCTGGAACCGAGCTTCAAATGCACGTCCCATAACAGAAGACTCGGCACTAGTCACAATAGGAGGAGTAGTCTGAGTAGTAGCTTCGGAATTAGAATGTGAAGATGCATAGTTCACCTTGTAGACATCGAACAATAGTGTCATCTCTTTCTTCACCTGATATGCCAAATCTTCCCCTTTTGACTTTCCATACATCTCTTCCAACATCATAGTCAAATAGTATAGTTTACGCCTTAGATCAAGCACACATGCCATGTAAACTATCCTATTTATTCTAAGGTTATCCTCCTCATCATCACCATCATTCTCAAAACAATACTTTCTCACCTTTGCCTCTATTATTTCTGCCATTCTTTGTATCTGTTTATCTGCATCCTTCTTCAAAGTAGCAATCACTTCATGAATATCAACAATGGCTCTGCAGAAAGTATGTGCAGTGACATATGATGTCCCTGATACAAAGAAAAAATTACAAAGAAAATGTAAGTGAGAAATCATAAACTTTAACTTTAAGAAATGAATTTTAAAATTTGATAGTTCATTCACATACCTGATACACGAAGAGTAAGATCATAAAAGAACTTCTGGTATTTCATGAGACGCCTAATGTTGCTCCAATCTTCTCCAGATGGAAGACGCTTCTTGGAGTCCACATAGTCTCGAAAGGAAGCATCAGTAGGACTATCATATATAAGAGAAAACACCTTCTCAAACCTCTTTGTAGACTCCAACATCAGATAGGTGGAATTCCACCTAGTCGGAACATCCAAAGACACTAGTCTTCTACCATCCATCTCTAGGTAGTCGATGCTAGACTTGAACTTTGCACTCCGAGCTGGTGATGACTTCACCCATTTCACACAATCCCTTACCCTCTCCACAGCAACTCCAACCTCTTTCAAACCATCAGAGACGACCAGATTGATTATTTGTGCCGCACATCTATACTGCAGATACTTCCCATCTAGCAAATCCGATCCCCACCCTTTCAGTTTTCTTCTCATACAGTCAACAAGCACATCATTGGAAGTGGCATTATCCATTGTCATGCAAAACAGATTCTTCACTTTCCATTCTTGTAGACATGCTGCCAAAGTATCTGCAATATCTCTCCATGTATGACTGGTTATGGGAACAAAACAAATAATCCTCTTCTGCAGTTTCCAGTCATCTCCAATAAAATGTGCAGTCCCACACATATAATTCTGGTTATTATCACTAGTCCATGTATCTGTAGTGATAGAAATCCTTCCTTTGCACTTTGAGTTAAAAAAACTCAATCAACAGCTCTTTCTTCTCCAGAAAAATGACATAACAATCAGATCTAATTGTTTGCCTTCCAGGTATCACAAACAAAGGTTGTGATACTTGTCGCAACCGCCCCTCGAAAATCTGGTGATCCGTCGCGAATTGCTCGGAGTCGCCATCGACCTTACTTGTGGTGGATCGAACACCATTTGACCCGATCGCGACCA